ATGCTAGTTTCAATTTCAGCACTGTGCAGATCTAGTTAAGATTTTGTTTTTTCTTCTGGATATCTTACATCTATCTATATTGAAGCTCATTTATCAACTTCTTGCCCAGTTAAGTCAGTCTAATGAAGTCTTTCAGGAGCTGGTCCCTGGTAGAACTGAATTTCACTCTCCAAAGGAGCTTACTATTAGCTATGATCTCAGAGACTTCAGGGTTCATTACCTTTTATAGGTCATTAAAGACAATGAATAAAATTGGTCCAAGTGTGGAGAAATCTACTTGTGAATTTTCTTCATGGTAAAAAAATCCATAAGACTCTGTCCTTTGCTTTCTGTGATCTAACCAGCTTTCAGTCCACAAAAAAATTTCTTCAGTCCCATGACACGTCTGTTTCTCTAATAACATTGCAATGGAATATTATTGGAAGGCTTTTGGAAAACTTATGTATATTCATATTCCCTTTATTTACTTGTATGCTGACAGCTTCATAGAATTAGAGAGAACTAGTCAGACGTGATTTCACATTGAAGAAACTCTGCTGACTTCTGCAAAAATCTTTATCTGTGTGCTCTGTTAGTTGTTATTTTATCATCTTGTCAGGGACAGCAATCAGCTTTCCCAGTCTACATGTCCAGAGTCTCTTTTGTAAATGGCTTTTTCCAGATGACTATTTCTAGCTTTTACACCAAGGAAAAGAACTATTTGTGGGTATCTTTATCTAAGAAAAAAAAAAAAAGTAGTTTTTAAAATATTCTGTGAATATGCTCAGAAGCCCTGGTTCCTATTAGAGGTTGAGAGCTGGATGGAATCAATAACTTGGGTTTGAAAATCATAGCTAAGCTGTGATTTTTACAAAAAGCATTCTTTCAAAAAATGAAAATTTAACTAATAAAAAATTTATTCCCCCTGTGTTGTTTACTTTGCTTGGAAGCCTGCTGATACCTTGTCCTCTTTCCATTTTTTATGAGAAGGGATCAGTCTTACCAATCAGATTACAGACACAGAGATCCATAAATGAGAGATGTCACGGTCTTGTAGTGATATAATACGTGGCAGCTCATTTGTATAAGCACTCATTTTTATCACTACAATCCTGGAGCACCACAATACTAAAAATAGTATTGAAGTGGTGAAAATGCTGTAATCATTGACATTTTTTAATTTCCGACATAGCTGAGCAAGAGGCTGGAGAGGTTTCAGTCAGCACTTCATCCTCTGTTCTGTAAACCAATCAATTATTCTTCAATGACATTTTTGCATGTGGTGTGTTGGTGACAATTTGGAAGTAGACTCTACATACTGAGCCACGGGTTAAGACTACGTAGTAAAATTTTAGCAAATGTACATATTCTCAAAAATTGTTTACTTAAGTAAATCACTTCTGCTGTCAGATGTTAAATGAAACAGGGTATCTATAAAATATTAGTAGTAAAGTTACAAATTGTAAGTTTATGCAGATTTTCAGAAACATTTTTGGCTATAAACTTTATTAGTTGGTACAGTTTAAAATTTTAATTAGTTCTGTGTTTTTGGAGCTATTTAGAGAATGTTATAATCACTTTTATTAAAAAGGTATCTTTGAAGTCTGATGTAAATTACCACAGAGTAAATATTAAGAAAACTTATACAGAAGAATTGCATTATACACCCTGTGAACAATTATACTGGATATTGCATATTGGTACTGGTGCATTTTTTTTTCAGCTAATGAAATATATCATGGTATCTTAGACTGAAAAAGACCATTATGTTCTGTACAGGATATTAAAATGTTCATTGGTAGATTACTAGCAAGCCCAAATAATCAATTTCCTATATTAATTTAGGTAAATTGTTTGTGTAAAGATTACTTTAATGATATATACATGCAATTCGCTGCTTAAAATGATTTAAAAGAGAATTTAAGAGAAAGTAACTATGCTGAACTCAGATGTATGCTGAAATTGTATCTGCATTTGTAATTGTTCTGTTTCAAGTAAATTGCTTTGCATATTGCACGGAAACTCTATGTCCTAGGGAGCACAGACTGCCTCTAGAGACAGCGTGCCCAAAAAGGAGACATAAGAGGAAGCTGGATAATGTGGAGAAAAGCAGTCCTGGCTCCATCTGCTGTCTGTTTTTTCTCTCTCCCTTTTATTTTCTTGGCAGCTTCTTTCTTGGGGTATTTGGTGTCGTTAGGTACCCCCTATATTTCTTTGAACACAGACTGGTTTTTAACCATACTTCTGCTTTTGCCTGCTATTGACCCCAACTACTTCGTTTTACCTTTCTGAGCACCATTGATAGTTTCGTTTAATGTTGTTCCTTGGACACAACTAAGATAAAACAGGATTGTACTTTTTTTTTTTTTTTTTTTTTTGTCACCCTAGGATCAAGGTAATTTTGTGACCTTCTCTTCTTTTTCATCTGTAATAGTAAATGCTGTAAGAAAGCTCAGGCACAGTTCTAGAACTGTTACTCATCCTTACACTCAGGTTCACTCGAGCTGTATCAAATCACAGCTGAAAAGTCTACTCCAAGTGCTGGCTTTTCATGTCAATCTTTCTCACAGTCCTTTGAAAAAGAAGGGACCAAAAAGCTTTTGTTGGACCAGAGCTGAGGACAAGAACCTGGGATTTTGGTGTATTAAAGATTTTCCATGTTCTTTCGTAATAAGTTTAATCTTTAGAATAATTTCTGAAACTAATTTGGGCCATACACTCAGTTATAGAGACATCTTTTTCTGCCCTCTGTAACGTATAACTTTCCTTCCAAAATGGTTTTGTTCTTTTGGAATCCTAATGAATATTAATATTTAGTTGAAAGGTGTAATTTACTTGAATGTTCAGTGGATTTCAATAATTTTTACAAATGGCAGAATTTTGCAGTCACAAAAACCTCACAATTTGAATTAGTCTAATTACTCAAATTTGGAAAATGGCTGCAAAATAGAAAGAGAACTTTTGAGTCAATCCTAGAGTTCAAAAATTGTACTGAGCTATGATCCTGAAAAGATATACATCACTCTTCTTTTAAAGCATAGTTCTATCTCAAATACAGGACCCAATTAAAATTTCCAAGTGGGAAGTCTGACTCTAGATTGCAGAAATACTAAAAATACAACGCAGATCCTAAATATGTAGGCAAGGATGCAAATAGGTCTTTAAAAAGATTTACCTTTGCATTCTTAGATCTTAAAAATAGTACTGAAAACTCAGTCATGGCAAAGCATCAGAGAAGCTTACTGTGACTGGAACTTATAGGAATTCAAACTTTATTATAGAAAGCCTTTCTAAAGTCAATAATTAAAAAAGGATAATTGGTGAAAATAAAATTTTTCAGATAAGGAAGAATATTTGTTCACCAGAGTACAGAAATTTCAAATATAATAGCAGATGCTATGTGTTCAACACACTAGAAAATACTACAATCCATGATTCCTGATATTTTTGTGACATGAGAGGTAAAACCATTTCTAGGGTGTGTAAGTCTGGTCCCAGTTTAGATATCAGAATAAAAAACTTTATATTTGAGTAATCCTAACACTTAAGAAGATAAGAAACTTTAAAAACCCCAAAACACAAAGCAAACCAAATCAGAAACAGAACTGAGATCTTTGATAAATGCCTACATTAACATAAAAACTGAGTTACTTTTCTACAGCTCACTGAAGTAGCATATGCTTCTGGGTTTTTTCAGCCTAGAAACTAATAATTAGACATTCTTTAAAGAACTTCCCTTATCAGCAGTAATTAAGATACGAGACAAGTAAGATCTCTTTTAAGGAAGTGGTTATTTGCTGAAAAACATAGATTTGGTTGTTCCCAAACTGCTTGTGAATGTCAGTTCAAGTGTTTCCAGCTGCAATGGAAGAGTTGGAGTGATACAGCTGTGGAATCATCAGCTGCCTTTTACTCAACAGGTCTGCAATTAAGGAGTCCCTTTTGTTGATGTTGTTCCATAGGGACTGCTGAATGCTTCAGCAGACATAGTTCTTGAACTAGATAATTTCAAGGAAGAGGAAAACAGCTTAAAAAGTTAAAATTCATTCAGGCAAAGTACTTCCTCTCCAATCCCAACCACTTACTAAAAAAAGAGTCAGTCCTAGAGTTCAACATTTTATTTTGTTAAATAATAGAAACCATTATTATTATTATACTAAAAAATAGTATTTTGTGCCCATTTTTAGGTCAGCAGCCCCACACACACAAGTTTAATTACAGTTGATTATTATGTGTGTGTTTTTAATGAGTCTTGGGTTTTTTATGTGTCTTGTTATTTTGACTTTTGTTCTTGTGTTAGTGTTCTCCCTCATCTGATTCTTCCTCATAAGAATTGGGCAAGTCATGTTGGTCATAACCTCCAGGTTAAGGTAGCTTAAAATGCTGAGACAGTCTTCAAGGATGTGTTTTATCATGCTCAGTTTATTTATTCCCCAAAGCATCTCTGCAAAAATTAGAATTAAAAGCATAGTATTGTAAATAAAGGTTAAGAAAGGGTGAGTGGTTCAGCTGCTCATTTTGAGAACATCTTCTCTGGCGTCTTTGTTTTTTAAATTGATATTAAGGGTTTTTACCTCATAAACTCGATTCAGTTTATTGGTTTATTGGATCTTTTCCCCTGGACATATTCCATTTCTTTCTGCTGGAGCTGTTCTGTTGAGGCTGAGTGTTTTGAAAGCATATTATGTTTTTTTTTTTTCAGTTTACAGTTCAGCTGCCCTGCATATTAAGGTTATCTTTCAGTATACCGCTTCAGCAATATATACCAGTTTTATAATAACATACACTTTGCAATCTACTTTGTTGCAATAAAACCATTTAAAATATTACTGAGTGAAAAACATAACTAGAAATTCATATAAACAAAATTCACCTCTGTATTCAAAATACTGTATCTTTTGAAATACTTCTCTTGAAATGTATTGAAAATGCTACAACATACAGAAAATCATAAGCATAAAACATTCCCGCTGTTCTCTGTGGTTGCAGTTCAGTCACTTTGCTCCTTTGCTCTGTTTCAGACGGTTCGCCATGGATTTCCTTACCTACCCACTGCCTTAGCTTTTGACCCAGTTCAGAAAATTCTGGCAATTGGAACAAGAACAGGAGCCATACGAATGTATCCTTTCTCATTCAGAATTTGCACCATTTCTGTGTATTTGTAATACAGGGATGGGAATTACCTTCCTCAAGCATTCAGGTAAGGCTGCAGTTGTTATGTTCTACTTCATTTTCTTTATGAGACACACTGGAAAAAGATGTGCTGTTGAGGAATCAGCCAGGTCCCTAAGGGGTTCAAAGAACAATTCCTGATTGCATTTTTAAGCATGTAGTTTTGGCATATATTGGTTGAGATAAAAGAGATTTGATCTTTTTCAGCATGAAAAGTAAAAGTGGACAGCAAAGTGGTGATGAGCAAGTTGTGAATGTTTGCTAGCAATTGATAAATTTATTGCTGCAATGCAGCTAGCCAGTGTTGGATTGCAGTTAGATGGCTATGTATGAAATTATTTAGACACTTCCAAGTGAATGGTGGGAAATAAGCAATTTTAGGACAGAATTCCTCTCTTCCCAGAGGAGAAGGTGAAACACTATAAAAGTGCCTATTTCTTTTTGTTAATTATAAAGGTACTTCAGTGCCAGCAATTTGTATGTTGTTTTTAGTACAGTAGGATTTTGCAGTTAGAAGTCTATAACGAATAAATTTAATTACAAGATAATTAAAATCTGAAGACTTAAATTAAAGAAAAAATTAAGAATATTTAACTATGATGTATTTCAAAATGTTTCTCTACATAATTTTCTTAGTTTGGCATGGTTCCAATGTTTTCCCCTTCAGTGAAAATACATATAAAGCAAGGAAAAAAAGGAGAAAGACTGTTACAAGAAGGTTTAAAAGTTACAGAATACAGAACTAATAAACCAATAGTTTTTTACAAACTTTTTGTAGCCAAATAAATTATGTGTTTAAAGTAGGGCACAATGCTGTATGAAATAGCAATATAATATTTTCTGGCTCTTTTACTATCCCTGTTCCCAAGGTAACTATAAATGTAATGAACCCAAGGCAGGTTACAAAGTGAAGAAAACTCTCCTTGTGGAAAAGAAGCCTGTGCCTCATGTAACATAGCTAAAACTTTGGTTCTTCCATTATTGGGTACTCTTGGTCTGAACAGTTGCATTTTTGTAAGCCTCAATTTCTATCTGATTCAGAATTTCTCACAAGACTCAGCTAAACCTCAAGTTATGTGACAAGCTCTGCTTTAATAGTTCTACTCTTTATTTCTTACCTATGTGAAATAAGTTGAATATATTATGTTCAAATGCAAAGAAGAAAGTGTCAGTGAATTTGTGCACTTCTGGGAAGTACAAGTCTAGTAGTCATGATTTCTTATTTTTAGAGGTGTGCAATGTTAAAAATCTGTGGCTTTGTCCCTGGAAACTCACTCATCAGAGTGAGGGGCTTTGTCCCTGTCCTCACTCATCAGAGTGAGGGTATTGGGAATTTCATGGTAGAAGTACAACGATGACTTTGCAGAATATTGACTACTGAGCCCACCTCTTCTTTCCATCTCAGCAATGTGGCTTTTCTAGGAGCAGTGCTGTCACTGGCTACGCATCCTCTATCCCTACAAATCCCTCCTTTGAGGAAAATGCAGGTACAGAGCCTGAATTAATACAGGTTCATGTAGAATTAATTTAAACCTGCACGTCTCCTGCCACAGGAATAGAACATGAAGTGGGAAAATAGCTGTGTGCCTAAGCTTATATAAAATTCTCTATATGTTTTCTATAAAAATAGATTATAAAGAGTTAGCAGAAGGGAAGAGAATGTTTTTCAAAGTGACCTTCCTTTTAACATTTCTTCTCCTGTTTGCTAGCAAACTCCTATCTCATTCATGGAAAAATTTCTAGCAGTTTTAGTATCTTAACCAAGCAAGAGCATCAGGACTACCAGGGAATTTTTTTTTTTTTTTTTTTGGAGGATATGTCATAAGATAAATGCTTCTCAGCTTAGTCACAGAGAACCTAGTTTGCTTAATTGAGCCCTGAGTTAATGGAAACTGTGCTTTGAAGACAGAGGGTGCCATAGAAAGAATTACTTATTTATTCATTTTAACTGAGGTTTCTTCACTTGGCTGTAAGTTTTGCTGAACATATTATGTAAAAAACCTACTCGTGGACTAATAAATTTGCAGTGAAATAGGCTCTAAGACTGCCCCCAGAACACCACTCATTTAAGCCAGTCTTGTTGCAGATGTCTGTAGCTGTTGAAATCAGGCAATAAAATTCAAGCCAAGATGTAACAGATGAAATACTACATCTGAAAGTACAATTCATAATGTGGGATTTTTTTTAGCAAACTAAGGAAAATACAGGTTTTAGTGGCTCTTAAGTTTTCCACAGTATCCTGTAAAAATACTTTTTAACAGAACTGCACAATTTCATTCTGCCATGAGTATGTCACGTAAGAAAAATGAAATTCTTTCCATACATACATTGTGTTTGGCTGGTGTTTCTAAACAGTAGTGTTGATGGAGTGAAAGGACAGACTACTTGGCTGCCATCAGAGAAATTCACCCAATTATTTATTTGTTTGTTTACTGGTAGTGCCAAAGGTACCTGGTGTGGATCAGAGTCTCTTCTTTAGGGAACACAAAAGGATGGGAAGATTGAATTTATGTTTAATATTCATGTAATGATATAGAACAAGTTTTCATGTGATGAGTCTAAGTCACATGATGAAAAACTCACCATCAAACAGGCTTAAATTATTAATATGTTTTTGTATGTGTTATAGTGTGGTCTGGTACTGTTATTAATACATATTCTTTAGACTTATAGGCTCCATATTGCCATGAATGCAGGTTGTGGGGCATGCAAATCTTCACTGTCACTATTAGTTGCTTGAGCAAAGCTGTAAAGCATCTGCAATCCATGCAAATCTTTTCCAGCAGCCTGGAATAGCTGCTGATTATCCAGGTTATCAGAAAATATAGTGGCGATTTTGTACCTAGGCAAACAAAACATTATTCTGACTTGCTAACACATGACAGTGAAAGCATTGCTCTATCCCCACCTTTAGCTTAGCTGCACAGTCCTGACCCTTCCTTTGCTCCAATTCTGCTGCTTGTCAGATCTATTACTGTGAGCCATCCAATGCACTACCCTGGCAAAATACCAGTTCTTCTGCTGTGCTACTTTTTTTGCCAGATTAGCAAACTGATTTATCTGGTGCTTACCTCCAATGTTAGTCAGAATGATGCATAAATAAAGTGGAAGGAGTGCAGTTGGGACTGGACAGAGAAGGAAATAGGGGAGTAACAAAATGTTGGCACTAAGGAGCAGGTCATTAAATTGACTTTTCTCAGTGTATGAAATTGCATCTGATAAATTCAGGTATGGCAGATTGCAGCTATCTATGAAATTTGCTACAAAATAGAGAAATAGTCTTTTAATTTTGAGTGGTATAGGAGATACCATCTCTTTTACTTATATTTTAAAAAATCTTCATGTATTTGTACATGAAGATTTTACACAAAAATTCTACAGGTTCTGCTCAAGGGAGATTCTGCTTTAGGATCATAGTTGGAATAACTTTTTCTGACCTGTTTTTTGTACTTCTTCCAATGCTTTAATAGGAAGAGTGATTTTTGAATGTCAATAAGGTGTGTTTTCTGGAGAAACAAACATGCCTTCAAAAAGACCAATGGCAATGGCATCCTGGACTGTGTCAGCAATAGTGTGGCCAGCAGGACCAGGGCAGTGATTGTCCCCTGGTACTCAGCACTGGTGAGGCCAGACCTCAAAGCCTTTGTCCAGTTCTAGGCCCCTTTCTAAAAGAAAGATACTGAAGTGCTGGAGTGTGTCCAGAGGAAGGAAACAGAGCTGGAGAACATAGCACAAGTCCTTTGAGGAACTGCTGAGGGAGCTTTAGCCTTGAGAAAGGGAGGCTGGGGAGGGACCTTGTCACTCTCAAGTACTTGAAAGGACAAAAGAAAATGGCCTTGGATTGTGCAGGGGAAGTTTAGATTGGATCTTAGGAAAAATTACTTCACTGAAAGGGTTGTCAAACCCTGGAACAGGCTGCTCTGGGAAGTGCTGGAGTCACCAGCCCTGGAAGTGTTCAAAAGTCATGCAGAGGTGGCACTGAGGGACGTGGTTTAGTGGTGGGCTTTTTAGTGCTGGGTTAGTGGTTAGACTCGATGGTCTTGGAAGTCTTTTACAAGCGAAATGATTTTATAAGATAATCTTGTTTCTGTGAAACAGCCAGTAAACATATCTTTGATTCCAGAGTTACTCTGCCAAGTAAAGGGGAAGGTGAAATCTAAACCCAAGATAGCTCTGTTGAACGTCATGGCTCCTCAGCAGCTGATGTACACAGAGAGACTGTATTGCTGGGAGGTAAAACTGAGACTGTTTGTGCACACTAGAAAAAAAGAAAATCTGGCAAAAAAGATAAATAGCGCTAATTAAATCATTGCTGGCAGAGTTCTGAGTAGGCATGGAATTTTACAGTAGCTAAAGGAAATGTGGTAAAGAATGTTTGGCATCAGGTTGGATGTACTTTATAAGAAAAGAGGAGAATGTAATTTGGGATTTTGCTCTGTGAGAAGGATAGCATAAAAGTTAAATATAAATTGTGACAGATTAACTCTCCCTGGAACTGCTCTCTTTTAATCTAAACAAGGTTTCGGTAGTTTTTTGTCCTCAAAATAAGCTGACTGTGTTCTCTGCTGTTTACTCTGTGTGATTTATTGGGCAGATGGAATGGGGGTAGCACAGACAAGATTATAAACCCAAAGTTCTGTCGTTTGACTTGGAGGAATCATTGATACATTTCATCTTTTATCTCATTGTACAATGTATTTGAGGTTTTTCTAGAGAACTTGAGCTATTCAGGATTACAAACTTCACCGACAGTCAGTACTCCTAAGATAACTTCTTTTAAAATTTCCTCTGGAAATCAATATACAAATGTCTATTTTTGTGTGTATAGGTAGCTAAATAGGTTATTACAGAAATGAATTTACTGTCAATCTACAAGAATAAAAATTATTGTAAATGATACCAAAATAATCAAATTTACCTGTATTACTAAATCTGACAGAACCACAG